AGTATTTTCTTTGTTAAGTTTATTCCCAGGTATTTTTTCTTCTTTTCTGGCTATTATAAATGAGGCTGCTGTTGTGATTTCATTTTCAGCAAATTAACTATTGATCTATAGAAAAGGTACTGATTTTTGCATGAAAATTCTGTATACTGTTATTGTACTGCATTCATTTATCCAGTTCTAATAGTCTTTTGGTGGCTTCTTTAGTGTTTTCAAAGTGTATAATCATATAATCTGTTGTCATGGATAATTAGACTTCTTCATTTCCTCCTACTATGCCTTTTATTTCTATTTCTTTCCTAATTTCTCTGGTAATATTTCTAATAATATCCTGAGTAAGACTGATGAGTGGACACTCTTATTCCTGATATTGGGAAAATGCCTTGTTTTCTCCCCTTTATTAAGATTTGCATTTATACTTATCCTACATATTCTTTATTATGATGAGGTATGATCCTTCTATATCTAATATACTCAAGACTTTTATTATAAAAATACTAAATTTTATCAAATGCCTCTTTTACATCTACTAAAATAATCATATGATTTTTATACTACCTTCTATTATGTAATATATTATGTTTAGTAATTTGCATATGTTGGACCATTCTTGTATCCTGGGAATAAAACCAACAAACTTGATTATAGTATCCAGGCTTTTGGATGTATTCTTGCATTCAATTTGTAAGTATTCTATTGAGGACACTTATACTGTACCTGTGTTATCAGGAATATTAGTCTATTTTTTTATTGTTGTTATATCCTTGTGAGGTTTCATCCACAAGTGTTTGCCTGTTTTGGCTGTAAGGTGTTTACCTCATATAACTGGAAGTACCTCCTCTTAAGTCTTCTGAAAAAAAATCTATGTAGAATTTCTAATATTTCTTCTTTATATGTTTGAAATAATTCACTAGTGAAGTCTCTAAACTATATAATTTTCTTTGCAGAAAAGCTTTTAGGTATTATTTGTATAACTCAAATAGTGCTCTTCAGGTTTTCTATATTCTTGATTGAGCTTTGGTAATTTGTATTGTTCATGAAGTTATCCATTTCAACTTAGTTTCCCACATTTAAAAACATGTACTTGTTCAGAATACTTCCTTAATTCTTTCAGCATTTGTAGAATCTATACTGATTATTATCTCTCATTTCAGGTATCTTTTAAATGTCTTCTATTTGTCTCTTCTGTTCTTTATTCTAGATCACTGTGCTTGGAGGCTTATCAATTTCCTTAGTCTTTGCAAAGAATCAACTTTTCTTTGTGCCTATACTAGGGCTTGAAAACAGGACCTTGAACTCTCCTTTGTTGTTGTTTTTTTGGACAAGGGTAGAGCTCTACCACTTATAAGCCATGCCTCCAGTTTTGCCTTTATGCTGGTTAATTGGAAATAAATGTCTTTCGGGTTTGTCTGCCAGTGCAGGCTTCAAGTCAGATCTGGTTTCCTCATATCTTAGTCTTCTGAGTAGCATAGATTATAGGCATAAGTCACTGGCTCCCTGCAAGAACCAACTTTAGTTTCAATAGCCTTCTCTATTATTTTTCTTTTGTTCATAGATGTATGCTGTAGTCTTTACTGGTTCCTGCCCTCTGTTTACTTTAGTTAACTTGCTCCTTTTTATCCCCTAGGCTTTCTTTTTTTTCCCCCCTTAGGCTTTCTTAAGTGGGAGATGAAGTCATTAATTAAAACCTTTCTTCTTTTTTCATATGTGCTGAGGTGCTATGTCAACATAGTATTACTGTCTTTCATCCTTTTACTTTTAACTTATTTCTGTTCTTATATTCGAAGTGCAATTTTTTGCAGGAAGTATATACGCTGGACCTTACTTTTTATTCACTGTGTCAATCTCAGTCTTTAATGGAATGTTTAGAACATTAACATTTAATTTGATAACTGATATGGCTAAGTTTAAATATACTATTTTAGTATTTCTTTTCCAATATTTTAGTGGTTGCTCTAGGATTTACAGTGAGTACCTTTAATAAATCATAGTTTATCTTCAAAACTTCTCTGGTTACTTTTAAGGTTTTCTTTATCAATGATTTTGGATAACTCATGATATGCTTCAGAGTATTTTTCTTTTTGTTGCTTAATTTTTGGGATTCATTCAATTTCCTAGATCTGTGGAGTTAGTTTTTCTCAGTGTTTGAAAAAATTTAGTCATTATTTCTTCACATACTTGCTACCCTTTTCTTTTCTTTTTTTTTTTTTTGGTCGGTCGTGGGGCTTGAACTCTGGGCCTGGGCAGTGTCCCTCAGCTCTTCAGCTCAAAGGAGTGCTCTACCACTTGAGCCACTTCTGGTTTTCTGGTGGTTTATTGGAGATAGGAGTCTCACGGTCTCTCCTGCCCAGGCTGGCTTTGAACTGCGACCCTCAGATCTCAGCCTCCTGAGTAGCTAGGATTACAGGCGTGAGCCACCAGCGCCCAGCCTTTGCTTCCCTTTTCATCTCTTATAAATTCCAACTATATGTCGACTTGGCCACTTAAAGCTATCCCATGGTTCACTTGTACATTTTTCATTTTTTTTCTTTACATTTCATTTTGTATAGTTTCTATTGTTATACCTTCAAGTTCCAAGTTTACTAATCTTTCCTTTACATCTAGAATCATTTTTTACCTTTCATCTCTTTTTCTGCTAACCTTTGGACATATCAAGCCATTAAAATATTAGTTTCATATGCTTATCTGCTATTCTATGATATATGTAGGTCCTAAGTCAATTAATAATTCTATCATTATTTTCTTCTGCCTCCTTGCATTCATAGTAATCTTTAATTAGACATAAGCATTGTGAGTTTTGTCTGTTAGATTCTGGACTTCTATACATTCTACACTTCTATACATTTTCTTGGGTAATGTTCCCATATGAGTTACATAGGGACATTTTGATCTTTCAAGTCTTAGTTTTATGATTTGATAGACCTGTATTCAATCTAGTAGTCAATGAATTAAGTGATTTTCTAGGTGAGCTGGTGAGATCAAGAACTATTTTCAGTCTTGTCTCTCTTTTTTTGGGGGGGGGTCCAGTTGTGGGGCCTGAACTCTGGGCCTGGGCGCTGTCCCTCAGCTCTTCAGCTCAAGGCTAGTGCTCTACCACTTGAGCCACAGTGCCACTTCCAGCTTTTTTGTTTTTGCTTATGTGGTGTTGAGGAATCGAACCCAGGGCCTCAGGCATTCAAGGCAATCACTCTACCACTGAGCCACCTTCCCAGCCCACAGTCTTGTCTTTCTTCCAATCCTTTCAGATGGGTTTTTTTTTTGGTCTTAGGTGGTTTCCTCATATACATGTATTAAAAACTAGTACTTTCCTAAATACCTCAGGACTCTCTTATGATTTTTATGAGGGTTTTTTTTCCTGTGAAGTTTTCTCTTCTCTAGTATTTTTCCTGCACATTTAGCCACTTTGGTGACGCTGGACTCTCAGTTCCAGTTCCTCTAATTAGGGAGTCTGCTGGCTCAGCGTAGGTTCCACATCCCAAGACCATGATATGAAAATGTTTGTAAGGTAGTAAGCTGGGAAATGATACAAGGCTTAGTTAATTTGCTTCTCAGGTCTAAGGTACCACTATTTAGTGACTTGAAAACTATTGTTTACTGTATTTTCCTTTAAAAAATGTTCAGGTGAAAATATGAACCTTGTCTGTATTATTTCAAATGAGCACAAGTCCTGAGATTCTGTGTTTACTTAGGACATAGATAAAACTCCAAGAGAAATGTTGACAAAAGAAATAACAGAGTACTAAAAGAAAAGAGATTTAAATAATTTCCTGATTTCCTGATATTTCATACTGTTTAGCAATGTTTGTTTCTTTGCTTACTTGTCTGATCCTATACAGACACAATCAACATTACCTGTGCACTGGTTGAAGCTCTTAAATTGTATGTGGAAAGCTCTAAAGGATCTCTGAGCTTCTAAAATGCTCTCCAGTGAGACTAGGTGCCAATGTTTTTAAATAAAGGTAAGATTTTGGTAGAGGACTAAGTATAGAAAAATCAACACTGCCTGCTTCCTTTATATCTAAAGACTATAAATCTCTTATCTGTCTTAAGGGCTGGGAAGGTGGCTCAGTGGTAGAGCGCTTGCCTTGCATGCCTGAGGCCCTGAGTTCGATTCCTCAGCACCACATAAGCAAAAAGAAAAAAG